ACAAGGGAAAGACATATCAAAAGTAATTTATTGAAACCAGCAGTCGTGAGCATGCACTGTACAAACAGTGCAGTTCTCCCCGTTCGTCCATCCCCCTTCACAAAACGGTCTGTTTGTGTAACATCCTAGCAACTGCCAGCACATTGGCTTTTGTTGCATACTATCTATAATGTGCCTGCTTGTCATAATTCTTTTCTCTCCAAACTTTCTGCAAGGGACAATAAAAAGAAAAACAAGCAGAGGACATAAACTGGCTGTAAATGACTATCATGTGACAGGGTTGACACCTTTTCTCCCTAGGAGTCAGGGTTTAAGCTTCCTGTTTCATGGGAAACCTCTCTTCCCTTCAGTCATGTCTTATGCTGTTGTGACCGCCAGCAGAGCTGGCAGCAGATTCGGACATTGAGGAGGTTGGGGAGGAACATGGGCCAGTCCTGGAGTCTGCAGAAGGCTCTGATGAGGGCTCTGTGTCGAAGGCAGAGAGGGGGCCAGAGCCGTATGCCAGTTATCAGCTGTCTTCAGAGTCAGACATCTGTGAGGCAGATGAACAGCTGGAGCCTGTTCCCAGTGTGTGCATGCGCAGAGTTGCCAGACAAAGGGAACAGCTAAGGAGTAAGGGTCGACTTGGGAGTAAGGTCACAGGTGGATGATGAATGGCCCCTCCCAGAGGAAATAAAAGAGGAGCAAAAGGGGAGTGGAGTTTGCAGGAGACAATTTGTTCATTTAATTGGGAAGCCTAGGTCAGAACAGATGCTAGACTAAAAGACAACAGTACCCTTGCAACTTCAAACAATAGCTGAATAAAGTAGTTGGCAAGCAACAACTACCATAACCAGGTGTTCATCTTATGTGTATGCAGTGTTAAATAATCACAATTTATTAAATTGTGCCCGTCTTTTACTTGTGTCCGTCTCCACAGGGCTCAAAACAACCTTTGCTATCTTCAGAAATTTGGATTTATATACCCATATATTTTCAGTTTTACTCTTGTTTATACCAATTTTGAGTACTGAAATACTGATTACTAATGTATTCAACCTTTTCCAATATGATTTTAATTTGGTTTTTAATTATAGGCAGTTTAGTAAATATGTTTATTTTATATAAAGCCTAAAGTTGTGTTGTTATTTCTTAAAAGTTTCTTATATTTCTTTTTTTTTTAGAGACAGTAATGCAGTTTCTGACAAAGCTTTCGGATAAATTATCCAGCCGGTGAGTCTTTTTTCCAAATTTAATTTTATTTATTAAGTAAACAATTTCACCTTGCATCAAGTGTCATCCTTTTATAATTTTATACTTAAAATGTCTTAATAGGTTTTCTATTCGTTTCTTTTTCAAATTTATTAAAATATTAAACTGTTTTAAAAGGTGTTAAATATAAACACATAGAGCCAGCTTGGTGTAATATTAATATACCAGCTAGAAATTAGGAGACCTGAGTTCTAGTCCTGCCTGAGGTACAAAGCCAACTAGGTTATCTTGAGCCACTCAGATTTGTTCTAAGACAATAGTAAGATTTCTGAAATCTTAATTATTTTCTAATAACGGGAATAAAGAAAGATTTCCATATAATTTATTAGTATTATATGTTACTGGAACAGTCGTAAGAAATGAAGAAATTGCATTTCTCTCTCTGATAACATTTTATTCTGTTTTTGCTTGAGTTATATTTATTTTTATACAAATTAATTAAACTTATTTAAATAAAAGTTAATTATAAAATTGTTTTGTAGCACTCAAAAGGATTTTGAAATGATGGAAAGTATGAAAATGAAGCTGTGTCCTATCAGATCAGTAAGTGATACTTTCCCCTCCCTTATAATTAATCTAAGTTGAACCTTAATTTGAAAAATATTTTCAATAATTCCAACAATAAATTGACTAGATATATAACTTCCCTTTTTTTGTATTCATGTCATTTCAACATTTAGTTTCAGGATTAATATTTTTAAGAAATAACATGCTGAAAGATAGATACTGCTTTCAACGTAACAAATAAAAACTTAGGATAGAAAATATAGTATGGTATCTTAAGTTAAACCTGTTCAGGGTTGATATAAGGTTGAGAAGAATGAGATCAGACTTGAAAAATTATACAAATTTTATAAAGTTAACTGGGTCATTGTCTTTTTTGTTTTGTTTCTGCCTTTGTTTCTGTTTTTGTATATTTTTAATTATGCACTTAATAAAGTAGCGCCCGTATAAAAAAATAGGGTTATAGCTTTCAGAAACACAACCTTATGTAAAGTACATTATAATATCATTCATAATAAGTTAACCATTTATGTGATACCTGCTAAAATACTCAGTGTTTCAAAATTTGGTTTCTTTCATTTTCAGAAATTAATGCCTTGGGATCACCCATACCTTAGTGGTGTCTTGCGTGCTGAGAGGTGAGCATTGGACCCTTCTGTTAACCTCTCCAGCTTTTTAGTTATTACTAGCTAATAACTCGGCGTTGCCCGGGTATTTATAGATATCAAAGTGTTTGTCTGACAGGGAGCCATTGAGAAGTGCCTTTCTTCCCCCAGTCCCATGCCCATCATTCCTACCCTCTCACTTCCCCTCCCATGCGCTCCTCTTTCCCGCCCTGTCTACGATCTTGGCACTTTGCCCTGAAGCGTTTGTCTGACAGGGAGCCATTGAGAGAGGCATTTCTTCCCCCTACTCCCATGCCCATTAACCCTGCCCTCTCCCTTCCCCCTCCCATGTGCTCCTCTTTCCTGCCCTGTCTATGATACTGGCACATTGCCCCAAATCTATCAGGCGCTTCCCCATTGGTCCACTGGAGAGCGAATGTCATGACTGGCTTTCCAGAGGAAGCTGTGAAGAAATTGACATCACAAACAATTGTCGCTCTAGGACGCTGCCCTTGCTCTCCTTAATGGGCCAGTGTTCCAGAGTTGTGCTGGAACACAGACACACACACACCAGGGGTGTCTTACCCCCCTCTCCCCAGTATTTGTTTCCAGAGGGTAAGTCATCTGTGTAACAAGTTTGGTTGAGGCGCTCTAGCTTTATGCTGGAACATACATACAGCCTTTTATATAGATAAGATAAGAAGATAGATATATTAAGAGTTGTTATGCATGAAAGATTAGATTCCCTCTTTGTTAATTCCTTCTTTGTTTTTTTCCTGTCCAAATAAGATATTTTTTCATGTCAATACCTTAAATTGGAACTTAAAACCAAAGAGCAGAGAAATCTACCAATAATCACTTTAGTTATCTTCAGAGTCAGTTCAGAGGACCCTATAATTGCAGTGAATTATTTTGGAAGGGCAAGGAAACAGGTAAATCTTATTTATCGGGTATAGGAAAATCTTTTCAGTCTAGCTCTATGAATATGGCAATAGCATTTTCAGATATTTCAACACTAGGGGGCGTTCTTGCCTAAATTTCATTATTGTTTCAGAACCCTAAAGTTTTATTTTGGATGAGCAGTCTTTTAGATTTACTATCACATACTAGTAGTGTAATTTGCATTCTACTCTGAATTGTATTTTTTAATAATGGTCTGTGATACCATTGCTTTTACTCTCTATATTAAAATCCTCTCAGTACTATATTTTTGAAGAGTGATGAAACGGGGCTTTTCAGAGAGGCATTTTGAGATATCTGAAGGATTTTGCTGCCCAGATGGTGACACATTAGGGATGTTGTTGTTTAAGCTTATACAATTAATTTCGTGTATTTTAAAAAGCTCCTGTAATTGTAAACTGCTTAGGGTTTTCAGAGTAGCATATTAGTTCAAGTAATGCAATTAAATTAATAAATGACTTTTTTTGAAAAATAAAGCTCTTGGGAAAAATAAGTTTGCTTTGCTGCATGTACACAAAAATTGCTAGGCTGTTTTTAATTAATTAAGATGTGCATTTTCTTGTACCAGAAACAGGCAATGTGAGGCTTTAGAATTTGAACCCCAGAAACAATGAAAACACCTTAATCTCCCAACACAGACAGATTCAACAGTTGTTTCAACTGAGAAACTAAGAATCCTAGTCCAAGCTAAACAAAAAAAATGCTAGGGAATTCCTGGAAGTTTGGCATTCGGACAGATCAGCCATCCATAATCACATAGAGATAAACGAAATGTATACACCATTCAAAATGCACACTAAAAAAGTTAAGAAGAAGAAAAAAAAAGACCAGAACATATCCTCTCCAGCAGCCAACACCCAGATAAACGGGGATTAATACCAGAAAAAAAAGCAGAAAACAATATCCTAATCAAGGAACTACAAGGAGAAACTACCCACCCTACCAACACTGGCAGAGCAAGTTATTGTATAAAAACAGAACAAATGCAACACTCACTAGCACTCATGATGTACCTATTTGGGTAATTAAAATGTTTGCAAGCAAACAATCAAGGCCAGAGAGCACCAAGGACTCAGTTCAGCCCTGAGCTACATATATTATCTTCTATTGGGTTTTAGAGTATAATTTATTAGCACAGGACATAGTTTTAGTTAAACATCCGGCGTCTGGTATAAGACTCCAATCCTGTACATTTGGCATTAAGTCCTATAGGACATATTAAGACAGAGTTATAAATGAATTAGGATTGGTCTGTCCATGGACTAGCTAATTTCCAGTCTTGATTGAAAAAGTGTTTTGAGGATACAATTCACCAGCTTTTGATAGACTATATTTCTTACTGTAATTGTGTGTTTAGGAATAAATCCCATGAAGCTGAGTAGGATTTGCTTATTTAGAAGTCTCAAACATCAAATTAAACTTAGTTGGTTGAAGGCACGCTGAAGGTCTAGGTCAGTGTTTCTCAACCTTGGCAACTTTAAGTCCTGTGAATTTCAACACCGAGAATTCCCCAGCCAGCTGGCTGGGGAATTCTGGGAGTTGAAGTTCACAGGACTTAAAGTCGCCAAGGCTGAGAAACACTGATCTAGGTGATCAAATTTGGGTGGTCTGTATTATTTTAACTGTTAAAATGGCAGCTAAGTATGCATTTCTCTGAATTTTGAACAAATATATTCAGATTTTGTTTATAAATGAGGAAAAATGCACGTACACATGTACACACATATGGATGCTACGCAGTAAATATTGTAAGTTAAAGATCTTAGACACTGATTATCTCTTAAGACTGTTCAAGGATGCTGTCTGAAGAGAGAGACAGAGTTCGTGAAATGGATATACAGTATATAATACACTGTAGATTTTGGACTGTGGAAAAGATTGCTTCAAAATGTGTCTTAACCACAAAGCCATGGGTGATTGTGAGTTAAATCCAATATCTTAGCCTCAGATGAGGCAATTTTGTGGCCAAAACTGACTGTGTGATCAGGACTTCTAGAGAAAGTATGTTGAGGAACCTCCCATCCTTAAGAGTGAAGGCAAAATTGAAAGGATCTCCCTGTGATAAATCCCCATTCAGTGGAACACCCTTTACTTAAGGGTTTATTAGTGTATTTTTCGGAGTATAAGACGCACCCTTTTCCCTCCAAAAAGAAGCTGAAAATCTGGGTGCGTCTTATACACCGAATACAGCATTTTTGCCTCCCGAAGCCCCGCCCCTTCACCAAAATGACCGTGCAGAGCCTGCAGAAGGCTTTCAGAGAGCTCTTGGGGGCTGGGGAAGGCAGAAATGGGTGAAAAACGAGCCGTTTTTTGCTCAATTTTGCTCCCCCCCCGCCCCCAGGAGTATTCTATAAGCCTCCTAAAGGCTATGCATGCAATTGTTTTGACAAAAAGGGCTGTTTTTTGCTTGTTTTTTGGGGGGGAACTCCCCAGGAATACTCTGCAAGCCCCCTGAAGGCTATTCATATTTTTTGGGGGGGAGGAGGAAAGGGGGCCGTTTTTGTGAAGAACGGGCTGTTTTGGGAAGGTTTGCAGAGTGCAAATTTTTTTTTTTAATTTGCCTCTTCAAAACCTTGGTGCATCTTATACTCTGGTGCGTCTTATACTCAGAAAAATACGGTATTTTATTGACAACACAATACAGAATCTTTACTGTGGTTGATGAATGCCACATGAAATCTCAGCTGAATAATTTGTAAGAGGTATTTGAACGTAATAATTTTCATAATTATTATGGCTATCAAAAACCCATTCAGTGAAGTTGATGGCGGTCATACACAACATATTTCCCCCAAATGTTCAGTCTAATTGAGAGTAATTTTATATGCCTGTATTTTGTTTAAACCACTGAAAGCATACAGGCTGTGATATAATTGTTTATCATGGCCCACTGAAATTATTGCCCTTTAGTAGCACAGCCTTTAATGTTTGAATCGTGCTGCTCATGAAGAATAATGAACAAACTTTACTTACCTCATTGGACCAGTTGACCTGATTTCTTGCCTATAAAAATGTTATTGAGCCAAACTGAAATCCTTGGATTCTATCCTCTTCACAAACCTCCACTGGTCGTACAAACTGTTCCTTTTAATGTGAATCAGGATTTCAGTTCAAATAAATCAATGTTCTCTTTAATTTATCAGCTTTATTGTTAAGTATGTTGGTGCTATCACACCATAAAAAGTTTTCTACTCAGTTGTTTACGTGATACAGTATGTTAGTCTAATGTTACTTCTGATATAATTTGCAAATTCTCCTCTAAAAAGCAAACAATATATTACAATATAATACACCTGCATGATCAACAATAATTGCATTACATTATATTAGGAAGCTGGCATGCTGTAGAAAAGCTTAAATGCCACTTTGATTCTCAGAATGTTTCCAGGCTTCAGAAGGATTTCCAAAATGGATTTGCTGTAGCCCATAGTTCTTCTGCAAGCCCAGAAAGGAAGATAAAACATTAGAGAGAAGGTGGAAAAGAACTCTCTGCTCAGTATTTTGGGAATAGCTAAGGCTCCCAGGAAGTATTTGCAAACCCACATACATATTTGATTAATTTTAACCACCCTCTTTTCCCGGAAATAAGACCTAACCGGAAAATAAGTCCTAGCGTGATTTTTCGGGATGCTCATAATATAAGGCTACCCCCCCCCCAAATTAAGCCCCAGTTAAGATTGTCAGCGGGATGGATGCATTTAGTAGTGTATTTTTCCGAAAATAAACCTAACCAGACAATAAGCCCTAATGCAACTTTTGGAGCAAAAATTAATATGTGACCCAATCTTATTTTGGGGGAAACACGGTATGCCTTTTGTTTTGATAACAGGGATTATACATTATTCTTATGAACTGGTTTATTAGCCACCTGGAATTATGCAAGTAACATGGGCAAAATTTTTTAAGGCTTTTGATTTTTAAGTGGACTAGTGATAAATGATATGTCTGAAAGCCAAACTTCCAGGAATTCCCTAGCATTTTTGGATTTGGCTTGATCTAAAATAATATCAGATTGCAATTGGAACCGTGGTTGAATCTGTCCAAAATTTGTGAAATTAAAAAGTTTTCATCATGCTTTCTGACTGCCAGTTGGTCTTTGTAGATGCATTTTGCCAGTCTTCTAGCTGTCTTTTGTAGATGTTACTATGTCCTTACATTGTTTACTATATTCTCAACACTGCTAGTTTCCTACCATCAAGTCATCTTACTTCATATGGCACAATCAATGTATTGATAACCAAATATATTGTAGACTCTGTAAATATTTTGGAAAGTGCTTATTAGGTTTTGTGTAACTTTCTGATCTGACATCATGCCTAATACAAGATGTTGTGTGAGTTTATCATCCAGCTGTTTTCTCTCACATCTCACATCCAGTGGTAACATCTAGCGTGATGTCAATAGGCTGTTGACTTTCCTTGCGTTGGAAGGAATATCCCTTGATGTGAGTCAAATAAGCATAGAGAGCATTGGAAATACTAAAATGTCTTTTTCATACATAATTTACATTTAGGGCAGAAGCCTAGCAATTTTCATAAAATTCCAGTCCTGTTAGTAAGTACATACATACAGTACATGTATCAATGTATATGAGATAGCAGTTTATTTTTATTTTGTTTATTTGTATCCTGCCTTTATTGACAATGGACATATCCAGTACACCTTCCATCTCCTATTTTACCCACAAGAAGAACACTGTGAAGGGGGTTGAATTGAGAGAGAGTGACTGACCTAAAGTCACCTAGTTGGTGATGTATTTAAGTGGTAAAGCCTCATGTTCTTTTGTAACACGTGTTGTTTTTTGATGTTTTAGGTATAATATTGAACCAAGTCTATATTGTCCCTTTTTCTCTCTTGGGGCATGTATGGATGGACTGAACAATTTGTTCAATAAGCTTCTAGGAATCTCTCTCTATGCTGAACAGCCTGAGAAGGGAGAAGTGTGGTGTGAGGATGTTCGTAAACTGGTAAGAGATTTAATTTCTAAATGTCTTGAAGCTAAGAGACAAAAGTAATAAAGATACTACATCTAGTATGTAGGAATAATCTTTCTCCACTATCTATTTAAAGCTTTGATTACATTACTTGAATTGAATCTACACTAAGTTAGTTCTGCTTTAATCTTGCTGAAATTCTGTTTCATCAATCATAGTTTATTTGTTTTAAGTAGGATTGGAGAAATTAAAAGTATGGAAATTAAAACTCAGTGTTAGATCTGTGATTGAGGAAAAAAATACCGGTCAGATTTACTAGGTTTATGTGCATTTGTAGACTTTAAGGTAAAGATAAAGGTTCCCCTCGCACATATGTTCTAGTCGTTCCCGACTCTAGGGGGTGGTGCTCATCTCTGTTTCAAAGCTGGAGAGCCAGTGCTGTCCGAAGAAGTCTCCGTGGTCATGTGGCCAGCATGACTAAACGCCAAAGACGCACAGAACGCTGTAACCTTCCCACCAAAGTTGGTTCCTATTTTTCTACTTGCATTTTTACGTGCTTTCGGACTGCTTTTACGTGCTATTGGACCTGGGTACTTGAGAGACCGCCTTCTGCCAATTACCTCCCACAGACCCGTTAGATCGCACAGGGTCGGCCTCCTCCGGGTTCTGTCTACCAGCCAATGCCATCTGGCTACTACCCGGGGGAGGGCCTTCTCTGTTGCAGCTCCGGCCCTTTGGAATGAACTCCCCGCGGAGTCCCTCCCGGAGAAGGGCGGCATACAAATAAATTAAATCTGAATCTGAATCTGAATCTGCTAGGTTGGCAGATGCTGGGACAAGTAATGGGAGCTCACTCTATTATATGGTGCTAGGGATTCAAAGTGCCAAACTGCTGACCTTTCTGATTGACAAGCTCAGCATCTTAGCCACTGAGCCACCATGTCCCTGGGTAGACTTTAGGCTATAGCCATCACTGAGCTGGTTTCCGAAAGCAGCTAGGACTCCACTAAGAGCTCATATTACAAAGCTAATTCAAACTGATTCTGTCTTCAACCTGCCTCCATTATTAGATTATCAAATGTGGAATGCAGTTAAGCAGTTTTTATATTTAGTTTTTGGTATGAAATTATCAGCACTTACTACATGGCAAATTTTTCAACTTTCACATTTTATTTTTAGGCAGTTGTCCATGAACAAGAAGGATTATTGGGATATATTTACTGTGACTTTTTTCAAAGGCCAGACAAGCCTCATCAGGTAACTCTCTAACATCAACGACAGTGGTGGGATTCAATTTTTTTTACTACCGGTTCTGTGGATGTGGCTTGGTGGGCGTGGCATGGCTTGGTGAGCATGGCAGGAGGATACTGTAAGCTGGGACTTGGGAGGCAGAGAATAGATGGGGGCGGGGCCAGTCAGAGGTGGTATTTACTGGTTCTCCGAACTACTCATAATTTCCGCTACTGATTATCCAGAACTGGTCAGAACCTGCTGAATACCACCTCTGACAACGATCATTTTGACTTTATCTTATCCCCACCCTCCAAAAATTAATACATGGTAAAATATAAAACACATTTGATTATTCAGAGCAAATCAAGGTTATGCCACTTAAAGTACATTTGATAAAAAAACAAAAACCGAGTTAAATAAAATCCAAGGGTTTTTTTGTATATTTTTGCAATAATATATTTAAGAATACAAAATATAGTGCAGATGGTTGAGAATTAGAATACACTACCTTTCTTTTTTATGTCTCCTCCATTAGAAGTAGATACTTTCAAATTTCTTCTGTGCTCTTTAGACAACCAGAATTGCCAAGTTTACCAGTTCCTAAATTACAGCCAGAAAAGATGATGACTTTCAGTGACCATTGTTTTGAAAACAACTTAATAAAACATTTAACATAGCCTTAAATGAGGGAATGGTGCAAAACCCATCATTTTGGGCTTTGGGGGAAAGAATATTTTAATGTTTAGTTCTTTTGAGATATACTGTCACACAATTAAAAGTCCTTTCTTCATTTTAGTGCATACAGAATATTTTAGCCACTGGCTATGTTCTCATACCTTCCCAAAAGGCACTTTAATTAGGAAACACTCATGTACTATTGGAATGAAATGCTTTGTGGAGATAGGAATTTCCATAATCCTTGAAAAATAACATCATCTACAGAAAGTGAGATCTCCCAAAGCCCAGAGAACCCACTTACTAAATATTATTTGGCAGGTGTGCGTTAAATTTCATTCAAATTTTCAGTTGAATTCGGGGAATTGGTGTTCAGTTGAAATTAAAAGTAAACTAGATAAGAAATGTACAAAATATGTAGAAGTTTAAGTGCTGCAAAGGGCCTTTTTGTGCTTTGTCAAGTCTATAAACATAATTCTACATTAGTTCTGATATATTTCAAACATTAAAATTTTAGATAATGCTATAATTATAAACAGTTTGCAATTCTTACAAATTGTACTGGTGTTACTCTTGAGATAGTAACATGGCAAAATATTGAATATTTCTGATAGAGAGTGGTTATGTGAGTGTGTCTGGTGTGTTTTTTTTAAATGTAGGATTGTCATTTTACAATCCGTGGAGGCAGACTGCAAGAAAATGGAGAATATCAACTTCCTGTCGTTGTCATTATGCTAAGTTTGCCTCAGCCCAGTAATGGTTCACCAACGTTGCTCACACCTGGAATGATGGAGAATCTCTTCCATGAAATGGGGCATGCTATGCATTCTATGCTGGGAAGAACACGTTATCAACATGTCACAGGTAAATCAATCAATATGCCAAGTATTTTATGATGTGTACACTAGATATTGATTCTTGTTGCATAGAAAAGTTAATTTATTGTTTAATACTGGCTTCTTATATATTTAAAATGATCTTCTGTATTAGATACAAACTGATTCCTAGCAATATAAATATTCTAGCCTGAATAAGACACAAACCAGGTCTGCACAATCCTTTTTAGTCACTCTGTGTTCCATACCTTTTTATGAGGGGGTATCAGTGGTGGGTTGCAGGCTGTACGCCCCAGTATGGGCGTACCGGAGTCTGCCCGAAGCACCGGGTACCGTTCCGGTACAGTGCTCCGGAGGGCCCACCTGCGCTCCTTACCTGGCTTTAAGCTCTTCGGCGTTTCCGCACATGCCCATGGTGCATTCAGCACCTGCGCAACATCTGCTGAGCTGTTGGGAGTGTTGCTGATGCTCGCAGTGGCGTCACTGGATGGTAAGACTCATGCGCGCACTGCACGCATTCATGTCGACAACGCCAGGGCCCGTTGCAATCATATTGGTTGCAATGGGATCCGGAACCCACCATTGGGGGGTATATAAAGGTGTTCATGATTGGGAACATGTTTTGAAGTTGGAACAAAACAACTGCATCCACTGACCAATTTTAAAACTTCTAAAAATAGGCTTAGTAGCAGAAAATTGTCAATATGAACTAATAGCAATAGCTATAGCACTTAGACTTAAATACCGCTTCATAATGCTTTAAAAAATACAGATATTTCTCTCTCTGGGAACAATGAGAATATGTCTGCTGGAAAAAAACTCTGCATTGGCAACAGGAAACACTCAGCTCCATTCAGCTGCCCAGACTCCACTCTGCAAGGGATTATGAGGTCATTAAAAGAAGATGATGATAGTGCTTCACAGCGCTCTCTAAGCGGTTTACAGAGTCAGCATATTGCCCACAACAATATGGGTCCTCATTTTACTGACCTTGGATGGAGGAAAGTCTGAGTCAACCTTGATCCTATCAGGATCGAGCTCCTGGCAGTGAGCAGAGTTAGTTTGCAATACTGCATTCTCACCACTGTACCACCACGAGTCAAGTAACATACAGACTTGCTTATTAAAATAAATCCAAATAAGTTCATAAATCCTGCTTTCTGCCATGCTGCGGACTGCTGCTGGTCCACAGCCCGGGGGTTGGGGGATCCTTGTTCAAGTCTAACCCTCTGCTCAAGCAGGAGACCCTATACCCGTGATGGCAAACCTATGGCACGTGTGCCCAAAGCAGCACACGGAACCATGTCGCCTGGCACGCGCGGCATCACCCATTCCTCTTCCTGGTTTCTGGCACGTGTGTGTGACGATCAGCTGGCCTTCATGCATGTGGCAGTGCCGGAAACTGGAAGAGTTGGTCTTCCATTTTCTGGTGTGAACATGTGTGCCAGCCAGCTGATTGCCACATGCGTATGTGTGCCAGTAACCAGAAGACTAGCTGAACGGCGCTCATGCGTGTGCCGGAAACCAGAAGTTCATTTTCGGGGTGTGTGCTTACCCCCTGGGTAGCTCCTCTTCCGGATTGGGTTCCAGAAGAGCGTGTGCAAAGCGCTCCCTTTTTGGCACTCAGTGCCGAAAAGGTTTGCCATCACTGCCCTATACTATTTCAGACAAATAGCTGTCCACTCTCCTCTTTAAAACCTCCAGCGCTGGGGAGGGTCACAAACATATACTGAGCACATTTTTGTTTCTTTTCTTAATTCCTGCCTTAGCTTTTACTTTCCTACATATGAATCTCAGTCTTCCATGTCACATGCTTTCTGTGTCTGGTGTCATAGATACTGAACTTTGCCAGCCATCCTACCGTTAGTCTTTCGTGTAATACTTTTTAGCAAGATGGGTAAACTTTAATCTAGATTACTAGCTGTAATCGTATTTCTGATAACAGTAAAAACAGTGCTGGATACTTCAGACACATTTTGGCCAATATGGCACCCTTTCCAGTGCAAGCCAGGACCTTTAACCTAAAGTTTATCTTAGAAGTCCCACGTAACACTAACAAAGAATTACAGTGCAGTGTATTGACACACACTCAGAACATGTAGAATCAAATCTATATATTCCTTATAGACCACCAGCCACAGGGGGCGCTCTCTCTCAAGATGGAAGTAACATCTCAAAGTTATAATGTTGCGTCTTTCAAGTCTCTCTCTCCAAAAAACCAACTCTGCCCTTTTGTGAAGTAGTTTTGGGTACGGTTTTTGAAAAATAACAGATCCTGTATTTGTTGCTCCAGAAACTGGTACTCTGGAAAGATTTGAAGCACATAGGCAATTATAATAGAGGAAAAACTTGATTTGAGGAACGACACTTTTAATAGAAAGAAATTATTTCATCATCAGATGTCTTGAAATCATCAAAAAGAAGCAGCTAACCCCAAAACCTGTTCTTTGAATGATTGACATCTTAAACAATAAAGGAAACAATACAAATGTTAGATATGTGATCTCATTAGACAGATGGGGATGATAATATTTGCAGACAGGATTAAATTCTCAGGCATAGTTTGATATTTTAAGTAAGCACAAATGTAAGGCAATTAGACATTTGATGTTTAAAGTGAGACCAGATTTGCTGCAGCCTGGCTTAAGTTTATAAAAGGGGGTGATTCACAGCTTCATAAGGTGCCTCACCCGGTTGTTCAAATATTTTGTTTTACTTTGTGATTTGCTGAAAATATGGAGGAGTACTGTATATATTTAGCTTTCCTGCCAATGAGTAGAGTGATACTATAAAATGAAATATTTACATGACAATGAGTTATTGCAGCTTTGTCATGAGTGCAAAATGGAAAGTTGAGAAAAGTTTTGAGAGAGACAAAAAAAATAATATAAATGTTTTAGCTTCCCATGTATTAATTTTTTATATAATTTTCTATAGGTACAAGGTGTTCTACTGACTTTGCTGAAGTTCCTTCTATCTTAATGGAATACTTTGCAAATGATTACAGAGTGGTGAACCAGTTTGCAAGACATTATAAAACGGGTCAGGTAGGAAAACATTTTTCCCCCTAACTCAGTCCAATTACATAATGTTAAGTGAAAAAAATATTTTATCCTCTTCATTTCTCCCTACCACCTCTCCCCTTAACCATTATACAAACAGAAGTGTAGTCGTTGAGTCTGGTTTTTTATAAACTCTTCCCAAAACAGACTGTTACAAATCAATGCTATCTTACCTTTTTATGTATTGAAGCATTAATAGGCTAGTGATTCAAAAGATGGTGGAAGCTGGTTGGAACAAAAAAGGAAAGACCGAAAATAAGCAATGACTAAGATTTATAAAATGAAGATTAAAATTATGTATGAAATCATAACAGTGAAAATGTACAACACAGAGCAGAGTTGGAAGGGACCTTGAAGGTCTTCTAGTCCAACCCCCTGCCTAGGCAGGAAACCTTGTATAAGACAAGAACAAAACAACATGGATGGAAATATGATATCCTTATATTTGTAAATACTGAATAGACCAATTGTAAATAAGTATGGTAGTTATAATATTTAACTTTATATTCTAGTATGTATGGCAAAGGCATTGCCAGGATGGTTACACTGCGTCCAATGTTTTAATGTGTGTCTAATAAAAAACTTTTTAATTACAAAAAAACAAAAGATGGTGAAGGCTGTTTCAGAATAATCAATATTTTAAAACAGACTTTTCTTATTTATCAGGCTTAGACATACAAATAGTCCTCATGAAGGGAGTTGAAAACAGAATTTCTGTCGCTAAACTATATTATGGTAAAGCAGGACTGCATCACTCAGTGACGGCAACCTTTGTAGTCCCAATTGTTGTCCCATGGTTGTTATGTGAGGCATGTTCTTGCTGGCTTCCCACAACCAAAACCAATGAGGAAGCTGGCAGGAAGTTGCAACTTCCAGGCTGACAGGCAGGTAAATAGCTACTGGCAGTTGGGAGAGGAAGGGAGAGTATCTGTGAGAGGTGCAGCGTGGGTTGGGGAGGGTGCAAAGGGGGTCACGAGGTGTGGCAAGGGTCAGAGAAGGTGCATGAGGATGCAAGGGGTATGTGAGTTGCTGGTGTGGAACAGCACAGAGGGACTGAAGGAGGTTATGCGGGTGGGGAAAACACCCCAAGAATCTGTGAACCTTCCCCCGCTGGCTTCTCCATTGATTTTCTACAGAAATCGGCAAGGAAGATTGCAAGTGGCCACCATGTGATTCTGAGATTGCTATAACTGGATGTAAGTGTAGATCAATTGCCAAGCGCCCACTACTGATTATCCAATTTATTCAGCGCCGTTGTAACCTTGAATAGATTGTAGGTCAGGGACTACTTCTATAAAATTCAGTTGAAAAATTAGATTGGCATGACTGTCCTTAAAGGATGTTTCTGTAGATCTGCTTGTGCACGTGATTGTGCAGCACTTTGGATATATAGCAGAAAAAGTGTTCCAGAAGGGATGTGGGGGCATGCATGCCACAGCTATTGGCATCCTTTTAAAAGAAGCTGCATAATTTCCCAAGAATGCGTTTGAAGTAAGGAAGTGCTGACAGCATATGTCAAGATGCTTCAGAGTCCGTATGGGCAGGCTGCCAGTGTCTCCATATCTCGCAAATACATATTTTCCTGGGATTGCAGAGCTACAAAGCAAATCCATAAAAAGGCACCGCTTCTTTAAGGAAGTATAACATCAGTGCCCGTGCTCTTCAAAACCTTTTTTGTCTGTCTTGGAGCAGAAATGATCCACATAGACTTCGAGTCCACGCAGTTTTGGAAGTGTTTTGCTTATACAAAAGCGCTTATCAAATTAAAAATATTCCAGAACCTAAATATTTCACATCAACTTCACATAGATATTTTCTGCTGCAAAGGAAATTGTAACTTTTTAATCACTTTCTGGAATTATAAAAATTGAGTGGTGAGTTGAAAGAAAAATGCATCCAGGAATTATTTGTACAGAGTAATGGTAAACATGCTTTCTTTGAAGTGGGTCCACAGATTCAGTTTGCAGCCTCGTTGTTTACTACATGCCATCTCTTCATTTCTTTCAAATGCCTTAACAGAATTTGTTTCTTTTTAATTCACAAATTTGGAGCCAAGTATATTAGAACTCATTTCTTACATATTCCAAAGTCTGATCTGTGGTGGAAACTGATTGGCATAAACTTGCTGTGCACCAGGAAGCAATTGAGTCAACTTTAATTTTGACTTGATGAATAGATAGGATGACAGGATTAGGCCTGCTTTTTTGTTGTAATGATTTTAAATATGTGCCTCTTGTGTATATTTTTTAAAAATGAAATTATTTTTAAAATAGTGATTGTTTGAATGTTTTATCCTTTGCAGTTTTAAATATAAATATGCGTAATCAGAGTCTGAGAGTAAACCTGTTGTTTGTTATGATAATGTGGCTTGCTTACAATCTATCTTGTTTTAGGAAAATCTTGTTTTCAATCTCTTAGAAGTGGAGCCAAAAACATGCTTGCTTTCTTCTTCATTAGTTATGCTCACTGAAAAGTGTTGCATTGATTTAGTGTTCCTAATTATGTCAGTTTTACAAAAAATTATGCCAAAGCTTTTCATCAAAGATTCTTGGTTACAGAACAAAAAAAAGTAGATATAAGACGTGAAGTTTCCTTAAACAAAAGAATTATGTGAAAACTCCCAGTAAATAGTGCTTTTTTAAACAGCTTTTATTTCTCAATAAAAATCTAGCCTGTGTATCTTCTGCCACATTGCTAGATCAAACTGAGGAAATTCCAAGGGCAGCTTTCTTTTCTCACTAATGATTTTATAGCAATAGCAATAGCA